GACACAGGTGGGACACAGGTAAGACACAGGAGAGACACAGGTGGGACAGGTGAGACACAGGAGAGACACAGGTGAGCCACAGGTGAGACACAGGTGAGACAGGTGAGACACAGGTGGGACAGGTGAGCACAGGTGAGACACAAGTGAGACACAGGTGAGACACAGGTGAGCACAGGTGGGACAGGTGAGACACAGGTGAGCACAGGTGAGATACAGGTGACACAGGTGAGACAGCTGAGACACAGGTGAGACACAGGTGGGACACAGGTAAGACACAGGAGAGACACAGGAGAGACACAGGTGAGACACAGGTGAGATACAGGTGAGACACAGGTGAGCTCCAAGCCCCAGGTGAGTGCCCCAGGTGCGCCCAGGTGAGGCTCACCTGTCGCTGGGACTCGTACAGGATCCTGTCCATGGTGTTGAGCAGCGTCATCGTCTTGTAGAGCTTCAGCACCTGCTCCTTGGGCAGCTGCCGACAGGTGGGACAGGTGAGGGACAGGTGAGGGACACCTGGGAAGGTGGGACACCTGTCCCGTATCACCTGTCCCTGCCGGTCCATCCCCCGCTACACCGGGATCCCGGCTGTGTTACCTGTCCAGGTGTGTGTTACCTGTCCCAGATGTATCCCAGGTGTGTTACCTGTCCCAGGTGTATCCCAGGTGTATCCCAGGTGTGTGTTACCTGTCCCAGGTGTATCCCAGGTGTATCCCAGGTGTGTTACCCATCCCAGGTGTGTGTTACCTGTTCCAGGTGTGTCTCACCTGAGGATCCTCGGATTTCCGTATCACCTGTCCCTGTCTGTCCATCACCCGGTACACCGGGATCCCGGCTGTGTTACCTGTCCCAGGTGTGTGTTACCTGTCCCAGGTGTCTCACCTGAGGATCCTCGGATTTCCGTATCACCTGTCCCTGCCTGTCCATCACCCGGTACACCGGGATCCTGGCTGTGTTACCTGTCCCAAGTGTGTGTTACCTGTCCCAGGTGTGTTACCTGTCCAGGTGTCTCACCTGAGGATCCTCGGATTTCCGTATCACCTGTCCCTGCCGGTCCATCACCCGGTACACCGGGATCCCCGACAGCACCTGGGGCTGGATGAACTCGAGGCGCTCGGCGAACTCGGCCGAGGCTCCGNGACACACCTGTGATACCTGGGTTACATCTGTGTTACACCTGTGTGACACCTGTGTTACCTATGTAACCATGAACAGCTCCAGGGGGTACCCCCGGTACAGCAGCACGCCTGGACAGGTAACAGGTGAGGGCACACCTGTAACACACCTGGCACACCTGTGATACACCTGTGATACACCTGGGTTACACCCATCCCTGTGTCACCTGCTCTAACTGGGCCATGAACAGCTCCAGGGGGTACCCGCGGTACAGCAGCACACCTGGGACAGGTGAGGGCACACCTGTGACACACCTGGGGCACACCTGTGACACCTGGGTTACACCTGTGATACACCTGGGTTACAGCCGTCACCTGTGTCACCTGCTCTAACTGCGCCATGAACAGCTCGAGCGGGTACCCCCGGTACAGCAGCACACCTGGGACAGGTAACAGCTCACCTGTGATACCTGTGATACACCTGTGTGACACCTGTGTGACCTGTGACACACCTGTGATAGACCCGTACCTGTGTCACCTGCTCTAACTGCGCCATGAACAGCTCGAGCGGGTAACCCCGGTACAGCAGCACACCTGGACAGGTAACAGCTCACCTGTGATACCTGTGACACACCTGTGACACACCTGTGACACCTGGGTCACCTGTGTGACCTGTGATACACCTGTGATACACCCATCCCTGTGTCACCTGCTCTAACTGGGCCATGAACAGCTCGAGCGGGTACCCGCGGTACAGCAGCACACCTGGGGACAGGTGAGGGGGCACCTGTGATACCTGTGACACACCTGTGTGACACCTGTGTCACCTGTGATACACCTGTGATACACCTGGGTTACACCCATCACTGTGTCACCTGCTCTAACTGGGCCATGAACAGCTCCAGGGGGTACCCCCGGTACAGCAGCACACCTGGGACAGGTAACAGGTGAGGGCACACCTGTGACACACCTGGGGCACACCTGTGATACACCTGTGACACCTGGGTTACACCTGTGATACACCTGTGACACACCTGTGTTCCACCTGAGTTACCTATGTAACCATGAACAGCTCGAGCGGGTACCCGCGGTACAGCAGCACACCTGGGGACAGGTAACAGCTCACCTGTGACACCTGTGACACCTGGGTTACCCGTGTCACACCTGTGCTCACCTGTCACACCTGTACCACACCTGAGCACACCTGTATCACACCTGAGCACACCTGTCACACCTGTGTCACACCTGTCACACCTGAGCACACCTGTATCCCATCTGTATCACACCTGCGTCACACCTGTATCACACCTGTCACACCTGTATCACACCTGTGTCACACCTGTGCCACACCTGTATCAAACCTGTCACACCTGTATCACACCTGTCACACTTGTGCTCACCTGTATCACACCTGTACCACACCTGAGCACACCTGTACCACACCTGTCACACCTGTGTCACACCTGTATCACACCTGTACCACACCTGAGCACACCTGTGCTCACCTGTATTGTACCTGTGTCACACCTGTATCACACCTGTATCACACCTGCGTCACACCTGTGTCACACCTGTATCACACCTGTACCACACCTGTATCACACCTGTCACACCTGTATCACACCTGTGCTCACCTGTATCCCATCTGTATCACACCTGTGTCACACCTGTCTCACACCTGTGTCACACCTGTCTCACACCTGTGTCTCACCTGTACCACACCTGAGCACACCTGTGCCACACCTGTGTCACACCTGTGTCACACCTGAGCACACCTGTACCACACCTGTGTCACACCTGTGTCACACCTGTATCACACCTGTACCACACCTGAGCACACCTGTACCACACCTGAGCACACCTGTGCCACACCTGTATCACACCTGTGTCACACCTGTCACACCTGTATCACACCTGTGCTCACCTGTATCCCATCTGTATCACACCTGTGTCACACCTGTGACACACCAGTGCCACACCTGTCACACCTGTCCTCACCTGCCTCGCGGTACTGCCCGAACACGAGGTCGCTGCTCTCCAGGGCGGCGGCGCTGCCCACGTGCGTCCCCTCCTCGCCGTAATTGGTCATGTAGAAC